GCACCATCGCTTCTCAGTTCGGCAACTTCAGACAAAAATTCGGCATTCTTGTCGTTGGGAGCATCCCCACCGGCCTTCCCGAGCCCAAAGTTCCACTGGTAGGTCTGTCCCTGGTACCCAACTATATCGGGGATGCAATTGTCATGGCGATTTTAACGTTTGCCTACACCATCGCACTGGCGAAGATCTGCGCCAAGAAACACAACTACCAGGTGGACGACAGCCAAGAAATGCTGTCCTATGGCATCTTAAACGTTGCCACTTCCTTCCTGAGATGCATTCCCTCTTGCGTGGCTCCGCCCAGAACCATGGTTGCCAGTAGCATGAACGCCAGGACAACGCTGTGTGGCATCACTAGTTGTCTAATGATGTTTCTCGTCATTATGGTGGTGGCCTCACTGTTCCAGGAGTTGCCAAAAGCCGTCCTTGGCGCTATCATCTTCGTCTCTCTGAAGAACCTCTTTATTCAGATAGGAGACTGTCTCAAATATTGGCGCATCAATAAGTTTGATTTCTTGATCTGGTTTTTTACCTTCTTCTGCACAGTTTTCATTGACATTGATATGGGGCTTTATATCGGCGTCGGAATATCTGTTCTAACAGTTGTCTTCCAGACTCAGTTCGCGAAAGGTTACAAGCTCGGGTACACCAAGAAGGACACCGCTTTGGTGGTTCATAAACAATACAAGGACTCATCAGAGATTCCCGGAATCAAAGTGTTCCGTTTCAAATCCAACCTGTACTACGCTAATGCTGAAATTTTCCGTAACTCCCTTTACCGGAAAAGTGTCAACCCCAGGAAGTTGCTGAAAGGATTGAAGAAAAGAGAGAAGCGACTGCAGAAAGAAAACGAGGAGAGGATGGCACAAGGATTTCCTCCGCAGGAGGATAACAATTTTATTATGACCGGAGAAGGGGAAAAAAGCTCAAACAATATCTCCTATCCTAACTTCACCTTGCTACCTGCCGACCAAAAGGAATCTGTCTACCCAATGTCCATCCTAAAATCAGCTTCCCAAAACGGCATGCGGGACCTCCACTCGTCGCCAGAGTTGCCCAGTCTGGACTCGGAGTCTGGTGTCAAACCAGATCTGTCAGATCCTGGTCTTAAACCAGGCATGAATGGACTCAAGAGGGTACAACTCTCTGTGATAGAGAAGCCACTGTTCACCATTGACGGAAGTGATATCCTCAACAGCCACAATAGTTTCCACAGTCTGCCCGATGCCGCCATCTTAAAACGGCGGGACTTTGGTAGCACGAACAGACTGAAGACCAGCGAGTCTGTCCTGTCTTTGTACTCTATTGACTTTGACGAATACGAGGAAGACCCAGAGGACGGGGATGAGCTGATCACAGATGAGAAACTCCGACAGATGCGCAAGATTCACCACGTCATTATTGACTGTTCCCCCATCAACTACATCGATGCTTCAGGAACTAACGTGCTCACCCACATCTTCTCCGAATACAGCCACGTCAGCATCAAACTCTACCTGGCTGGTTGCTCAGCCGCCATCAGAAGTACCATGAGAAAAGCGGGAGTCTTCGACAAGATCCCAGAGAGCCACTTCTTCCTGGACGTCCACGACGCTGTCAGCTACGCCAAACCACAACGACCAGAACCCATCCGTCCGGAGAACATGCAGGACTTCACCGATGCCGAAGCTATTGAAAACTCCCGGGTGGTTAACGCTTAAATCACACTGATGTCATATGAGGTCACCCTGATGCAGTTTATCAGAAAAGAAATTTCGGTAACCTTTTTTTGACCCAGATTTCTTGTGATTTTTTTTTTTTTTAGTTGTTATTGCTTTTTTTTTTAATGTGCAAATTTAAAAAAAAAAAATGTTTATAACAGCATCCAGGTTTTACGAATTGCATAGCACGGTCTCTAATATTCCCCCACTCTATCGCCTGCTGCACGTTAAGGGCCTGTCTTTCATATAATCTATTTATTTACGTTCACCGGCAGTATACTCCCGCAGAAAGTCCTGGCTGTTCGTCCATTTCTGAACTTTGATATGAGGAACGAGAGGAGGCATGTAATACAAATGATGGACACAGAAAGCCAGTCACACAGATAAATGGACGTTGGTAATAGCAGTGTTGAACTTCAAGGGGAATGTTGAAGAAGAAGAAACAGATGATGATGCACATTTTAAACATCAACGGTTTTAATTATTGTTCGTGTGTTCCACTTTGTGTTCTCCAGGGGATTCCATGCGAAGACCCCGGTCCACTAAGTGAATTCGTCACACAAGTAGACTGTATATCTCCTATCTTTGTCACTATGTCTGTCTTTGCCATATCTCTAATCAGTATATATATATACTTGCTTTTCTTTTCATACACGCGTTTTTATGTAACAACTTAGAACTTGCGAACCTGACGAATTATACCATTGTTTCTTCTGTTGGCATGTGTAGTTAAGCGTCGCAGTTTAACCTATGATAGATAGCCGAGCCAGGGCGCTCTCTCTTGCTTGGTATGCTCTGATGTTGTTATGTCTTAGACTGTGGGTGACTACTTTAGTCCATCTTATTCTAGGTTTCCTGTCTCGTCTTGGTATTTCCATTTATATGATGCATGCTCTCACTTGCAGCACTGTTGGGTTCATTCTCTCTTGGTGGCCGAGCCATTTCATCGGTACCATATTATGCTGATAATATCAAATATGGTCTCTTGCATGAAAGCTAAACGATACATGAATGGTACACACTTACCCCATCGATGTGTTGCTCTTGTTTATATAATTCAATGCCCTCTGAGGTCTGATGTTGTAGTGCAGTCTAGTCGCTGGACACCAGGCACTGTTCCAATAACCTTCTCAAGATATGTAAACGTATTTTGCTGAACTTATATCCTTTTATGGGGAGCTTTCCCTGTGAATGTTAAGCTCCTCTTATGTTTCATGAGATTCTAGCAGAGAGGATGATATTTTAGCAAGACAGTAAAAATATGTACAAATGACAGTGAGGACAGTGTGTTAATATGCCAATTAACCGTGTGCGTTCCTCGGTCCAGATGTGGAGGGGGGAGGGAGGAGCAGACCCCCCTGCCCGCCTAATAAACATGTCGTAAAAGTCGACTAATTAGAGGTTTTCTTCGAAGTTTGAGTGCATCCGCCGGAGAGGCAATGAACCAACAGTCTGCATTCACATAAGTCAGATATGTTAAATGTATGTGCACTCATTACTCAAGTTCCAGAAAGAGACAGAAGACTGTAAATGGAGAGAACACAAACAGAGCTTTCCCCCCCCCCCCCCCGAGTTTACAGTCGGTGAACTCAAAGAAAAGAAAAAGAAGCAGAAGAATATGCCAGTGACCTCCGCTGCGAAGCATGCCTGTCCTGACCTTCCTCAGCATGCTTTTTGAAACATTTACAAACACGATGTGTGTGGGTGTCGTGTTCTCTAACCAGCGGAAAGCTGCAGCTACCGCCTCCACCTCCATTCTTAAGCTGGATGTTGTGGTATCATATGCCAGTATGTATGACAGCTTAGTATGCCAGTTAGTATGATGTATTAACATTTGTACAATTATATTTTTTTTTCTATTTAATATTTCTATACTTGTGAACAATTGTAAATAATAGATTTTGTGCTGATTATATTTACATGTGTGTATTTGTAAATAATAATTATTGTTTATGCCTTCTGAGAGAGCCGCCGTGGGAAAGCGGCTAGATCTTCTGAAAACAAAGGGGGTGTGTTCGAATCCGAGCGGTGCTGGACTTCTTTCAAACATGACTTAGCTCCCAGGTCGACCCAGCTTTAAATTGGTACCAGGTAAAAGTGCTGGGAAGTAAAAGTGACCGGCGTGGTGCTGATCACATCACCCACCAAGTGCTGATTGGTCTATGAAATATAGTTCTATCACTAAATGGCCAATCTGAAGGGGAGGTAAAGGGTCCATTTGCCTTTGAATGTAAACATGACCTCATTAACACATTAGTTTTTATGTATGCGTACTCAAAGACTGGTCTTCACTTCTCACACTCGTTGTACATACACTTTTTTTCCGTCAAAATGTAAGTGCGCATGCAAATGATAAATGGTTGTTTGAGATTGTACAGTTTTTACTATATTTATGAATCTTACAGATTCGACGACTAATTTCATATAATAAACTTTTAATAAACGGCAACCCGAATCTATTGATGTATTTCATGATTTCTGTCAAATTTTAGACTAAATCTATCATAGTATTATACAATCTGGACGCCATTGTTGTATCATCGTCACCATCATCATCATCATCAAGTACTGAGTGTTCTAAATTATATTGTGTCATTCCTTTCATTTGAGTCTGATCACAGATTATCTTGGTGCCTGCTCAGCTTGACAGATCTGTCTTGGTACCTGCTCAGCTTGACAGATCTGTCTTGGAGCCTGGTCAGCTTGACAGATCTGTCTTGGTACCTGCTCAGCTTGACAGATCTGTCTTGGTGCCTGGTCAGCTTGACAGATCTGTCTTGGTGCCTGGTCAGCTTGACAGATCTGTCTTGGTGCCTGGTCAGCTTGACAGATCTGTCTTGCATTACAGGTATGTCTTCCTTTACAAATCTATCTTGCTCTACATGTCAGTCTTGCTGTAAAAAGGTTTGTCTTGCTGTAAAGGTTTGTCTTGCCTTACCTGTCGGTCATGCTTGTCTTTCTTTTATATGTCTCACTTAATATTCACCTAGAAACAGCAACATTGTTTTCCTTTGTGACTGCATGTAAGTGCTCCAGGCAACTTAGAGGGAACTTTGAGACAACATGGAGAGAGAACTGACCCGCCAGCTGGACAGGCTCTCAGAAAACAATCAAATCGTTCTCCTCTCACTGCGGGATAGCAGAAAATGAGTTAGCAGACTGGCCCAAAAAAAAAAAAAAAAATAGAGCAAAGGAGAAACAACACACCCATTCGTTGTCATTACCAGAAATCAAAATACTCATTAAAGGAAAATACAAGGGATTGTGGAGAAAACAAACAGTAAACATTACAAGACCCCCATTAGCAGACTCGACAGGATGCAACATACAACAATTGTCCGTCCACGAACAGGACACTGCAGGCTCAACTACCAAATGCAAATAAAGGTTGTACACTTCCCACAATGTGCCTGTCAGGATCACAAACACCTGAGCACATTCTGCAGACCTGCCCACTCTACAACTTTGAAAAGACGCATTGCCTTAAGAGCAAATTGGGTCAGAGCAAGCTATGGGGAACCATGAAGGACCTGCAGCTGACATGCGAGTTCATAGAGGCAACCCACCTGATGGTCTGATCTGAGCATACGAAACCGAACGCCAAGAAGAAGATATTCAGCCTAGCTTTAGAGATTGTCAAAACATTTAGTGAATAAAACGTAATCAAACCAACATTTGTATTATATTTGCATAAAATGTGATTGTGTGTGTTCATATGTGTGTGCGCGCGCTTGTGTGTCCAGATATCTTACTAACACAATCAAAAAATATAACACTTAAAAACATGCAAAACCAAATGAACGAAGAACAACCTAAAACCGGGAGAGAGAAGGAGCGATAGGGTCAAGCAGGAGAGAGAGACAGAGCCAACGAGAAATGGAGGAGAGAGAAAGAGAAAGAGAACGACAATACTATGTAAACATGCACTTGATTTTTACAAGTAACTATTACTGTGGAAAAAAGGGCGCGGAGAGGGGGGCGGGGGGGGGGGGGCTGTCTGTGAGACAGGAAGGGGGAAGTCAATATTGGAATTTAGGGAACAAGATAGACAACCCAAGAATAGGGAAGCGGGTGTGAGTTTTCTCCCTAGCTGGTACACTAGAACTAAACCACTGAGTACAGACGAACTCTCTCCAAGTATGGATTCGGAGGTCCCATATCGTGGGGGAGTGGGGGGGGGGGGAGGGGGGAGAGAATAAACCCATTAGCAAGCATGTCGTAGAAGGCGACAAATGTAGATTTTTCCTTTAACATGAGTAACCAAGTCTGTTTACCAGTAAAGTCTAAATAGTAAACAGTAGAATTTCAAGTTCTGAAACAAGACGGAATTCCGGAGGTGGACGAACAGCCAGAACTTTGTGCAACAATTTACAGCCGGTGAACGTTAATAAAACTAAGTCTTTTTTAAATTAATATCATGAATGGGTCAAGTAAAAAGCAATTGATGTCACTGGTGGCACAGGTTTAAAAAAAAAAAAAAAGTGAATATCACAGTATGTGTACATAGTTTTATTTTAATACACGCAAGCAAACGTTTCCACCAAGCATTTTATTTTCTTCCGAATTCAACTGCCAACTATACTTAACAAAAATATTAATCAATTAAGAGCATACAGATGACAGAAAATCAAAACAAATAATGCTAATAAGAAGACTTACAATCACTGAAGTCAAGTGTGGGGACACGGGAGGCAGTTAATTGTCACAATAGTCCCGTTGTCATATGTTCGAATGTCTATCGAGGTATAAGGTGTGTTTAAAAATTACTAGGACCTTTAAGTCTATAAGGGAGAGCCACTGTCGTGCAGCGGCTAGAAGCTCGCCTGCGGATCCGAAGGTCGTGGGTTCAAATCCTCAAGAAGCCGGACATTTTGTCAATAATAACCTGGTTCTAAAGTCGACCAAGCGTTCAGTTAGTACGAGGTCAAGGTCTGGATGTAGAGACGGCTTGCGGGATGTTGACCACATCTCTCACCACGTGCTTCCTTTTGTTCGACTAC